AAATCATTCTAATATGCTGATTTATTATTAGAATTATCAACAACAATACTACAGCGAGAATATAAGTTACGCCTTCTTTCTTTGCGTGAACGTTTGGGCGGCGTTATGCAAATCTTCTCACATCGTGACGTAGACATGTGGGGTGTGTTAGAACGAGCCGTTTTAGGTAGGTGTGGCTGACTCTTAACTTTTATAAAGAATATCTCTTTGGATTTGAGACTTTAGTCTTTGCAACTTTACAGATCTTCTTTATGCACCAAGAGCTTGTAACACTCCAAAGAGAAAGGAAAAATTGAAATCGCATCATATGACCCCTTTAAGATCTTTTGTCTTGTTTTCTGAAAAAAATAATAATAAATTTGTTAGTTTTTGCTTAAAACAAGTAAAACTATCTGCCAATGGGGTAAGAAAACTTATCTTAATTCAAAGGCTAAACAAGATTATTTTTCTTACCCCATTGGCAGATATTTTTGCTTGTTTTAAGCAAAAACTTGTTTTTTTCAGAAAACAAGACATAATATCTTAAGTCATTTTACTTGTCAAGTAAATGCATCCTGATTCAAGAACTTGTAGATATTTATACTAGAAATCAAGACAAAAATACTAAGGAAGAAAATAATTTCAGGCATTGCCACAGGTATATAAAATCAAACACCTAGCCCTGCATTTACAAACATTTGCGAAAAAATGGGTCATTCTGAAGTGCGTTTCGCATACAGCCATGTAACTCTCTAATTAACTACCATAGTATGATGCATCGCTGTGGAAACTACCTAGCTAGTAAAGACCATCGTTTGAACCACATTGGCAGTGTTGGGGAAAGTTACTTTTAAAAGTAATGCATTACAATATTGCAGTACTTCATAAATAGTAACCAATTGCGTTACTTGGTTACTTTTTTATGGAAAATAACGCATTGTTATTTTTGCGTTACTCAGATATTCAGAAGTAACTCAGATATTTTCTTTTAAATTTAAAAGTAATGTGTTACTTTGCTAGTTTATTAAAAAGTAATCTGATTACATAACTCGTGTTACTTGTAATGTGTTACCACCAACGCTGCACATTGGTTTAACAATATATGGTCGGCATTAATGAGTATGGTGGTGTAATAACTTCTGCTAATTAATTGATTCAAGATCTCTGAGATGCTGCTATATTGAATGGCACCTGATGACTACTTTACTATTTTTTGTTCCTTGTCTTTTTGCTTTATTTGATGTTTGATTCGTTGTGGTTTCCCTCTTACGTCATACTCCAAGCTTCCCTCCTGCATTTATGCACATGGGCACTCTTCAAAAAATGCGTTGACTGTTGACATACTAAAATATATAAATTGAAACGTACTGTATATATTTAACTGGAATGAAAGATACAGAATGTATTGCATGTTAGCTTGCTTATTGTGCCCAAGAGCATGATCTCTTGAAGTCCACATATCATACTAGCAAAAAACCACAGGTTACGCTTCGAACCACAGGTTGAGAGCAGTAATTCCAACCTTTTAAGTTTGTGACACTGTTTGCGAATGATTGTTTGAACTATGGTTTCGGGAAACAGCGAATTGTTGAAATAATGGTAATGACGGAATTTGCGAACATAGTCTGCTAATGATGCTTTTGGGAAACTTTTGGGTGAATTCAAGCATGGTACTGTTATAGGATGCCACCTTTGCAATAAGTCTATTTTCGTCCTTGCTAGATATTCTGTGGTCAACTATAAGTGGTATTATTGGAAAGTGGAATCGTGGAGCTTCATGAAATGGGTTTCCATGGCCGAGCAGATGCATGCAAGCCTCACATCACCAAGAACAATGGCAAACGTCAGATTGAGTGGAGTAAAGCATGCAGATACTGGACTCTGGAGCAGTGGAAACCTGTTCTGTGGAGTGATGAATCGCGGTTCTCTGTTTGGCACTCTGATGCAAGTCTGGGTTTATCAGATGCCAGGAAAATGTTACCAGACTGACTGCATTGTGCCAACTGTAAAGTTTGGTGGAGGAGGGATAATGGTACCAGGCTTTTTTTAGGGGTTGGGCTATGCCCTTTCCAACTTCCAACTTGCTTTCAACTCAGGGAAGGCCCTTTTCAATTCCAGTGCCCCAGTGTTCAAATCCAGGTCCATAAAGACATGGTTGGATGAGTTTGATGTGGAAGAACTTCACTGGCCCGCACAGAACCCTGACCTCAAGCCCATCAAACACTTTTGAGATGAACTGGAACCGAGACTGCGAGTCAAGCCTTCTCGTCCAACATCAGTGCCTGACCTCACAAATGCTCTACTGGAATGTCGAGCAAAAATGACTACAGAAATGCTCCAAAACCTTGTGGAAAGCCTTCCCAGAAGAGTGGAAGCTGTTATAGCTGCAAAGGCAGGAACCAAATCCATATAGATGTCGGTGTAATTAGAATGCAATGTCGTTATTAAGTCCTTGTTGGTGTAATACACAGGGTGTCCCAATACTTTTGTTCATATAGTGTACCTCTGACCGAATAATACATATTTATAGGCATAATACTGCATACAATATACACACACCTTTAAAAATGTTACAGTTCATATGGCTCATTGCAAAGCTCTTTTTCTTTGAGCTGAACTCTGCATGATGACACAGTCAAATGTTGATGTTTGATCTTTCACTGTCCCCCCGAGGACATCTGTCATGTTCACTGATGTGCCGCACAGCCTGTTTTTCTCTTTAAAACTGTAAAACAGAGGCATTAA